CCTCTTTAGGGATCTGGGGTCGATAACTTCGTATAATGTATGCTATGCGAAGTTATTACGATTTGCAGCAACATGGATGGACCTTGAGAGAATTATATTAAGTGAAACAAGTCAGGCAGAGAAAAAGAAATATCACATGTTCTCACTTATTGGTGGGAGCTAAAAATAAATAAATAAATTCACTCACACAAACAAAAAATAACGGCGGGGGGGAGAAGATATAACAACTACAATCCTTTGAAGTTGTTACAACAAGCAAACGGAAAGGACATTGTTGGGTGGGATGGGGGAGAGGGAGGAGGGAGGGAGGTTTCGGTGATGGGCCATAATAATCAACCACATTGTATATCGACAAAATAAAAATTTAAAGGGGAAAAAAAAAAAAAAGACAGTGATGCTGGAAGTAATATATCCTTCAAACTTTCTACTGAACAGAATTTTCATGCACCTCTACTCTGTATTTATAAATTGTAAAATTTAGGGCTGGCCCATTAGCTCAGTTGGTTAAGAGAGCAGTGTTATAATACCAAGGTCAAGGGTTCAGATCCCAATACTGGCCAGCCGCCACATTAAAAAAAAAAAAAATTGTAAAATTTAGCAACAAAAGCAAAATTAAACAAATGGGATTACATTATAGCTAAAAAGCTTCTGCACAGCAAAGGAAATCCATGGACTGAAGAGACAACCTACAAAATGGGAGAATATATTTGTAAACTATACATCTGATAAGGGGTTAATATCCAAAATATATAACGAACTCGCACAACTCAAGAGTAAAAAAGGAAATAACACAGGGCTGAGCCAGTTAGCTCAGTTGGTTAGAGTGTGGTGTTAACACCAAGGTCCAGGGTTCAATCTCTATAGCAGCCAGCTGCCAAAAACAAAACAAAATATTTCTCAAAAGATATAAAAATGGCCAACAGGACTATGAAAAAATGTCCAACATCACTAATCAAAAGGGAAATAAATGCAATTAAAAACCACAATGAGTTATCACCTCACATCTACTAGAAGAGCTGTTATCTAAAGGTAAAAAGGACTGGCCAGTTAGCTCAGCTCTTTACAGTGCAGCCTTATAACACCAAGATCACAGGTTCAGATTCCCATACAGGCCAGCCACCAAAAAAAAAAAAAAAAAAACCATAAGATAGCCTCCCCAGAAAGCAAAAAAATCTGTTTACTAGGGAAGCATAGTAAGACTGTCAGTGCTGAATGGCCCTCTTAGACTTGTGAGTGTTGGGGAGGATGTGTAAAAATGGGAACGCTTGTACACTGTTGGTGGGAATGTAAATTGACAATACAGCATTATGGAAAAACAGTATAAAGATTACTCAAAAAATTAAAAAATAGAACATATGATCCAATCCCACTATATATCCAAAGGATATGAAATCAATATATGAAGGAGATATCTGCACTCCTATGTTTATTCCAGCATTATTCACAATAGTCAAGATATGGAGTCAACCTGTGTCCATCAAGGATGAATAGATAATGAAAACGTGGTATATATACACAATGGAATACTATTAAGTCTTAAAAAAGAAGAAAATCCTGTCATTTGTGATAAAATAGATGAACCAGAAGGACATTATGTTAAGTGAAATAAACTAGGCACCAAAAGACAAAACCACATGATCTCACGAGTGTAAAAAAGTTGAACTCATAAAAACAGACAGAAAAATGGATATTACCAGCTGGGAGGTGAAGCATTGGAGAGATGTTGGTCGAAGGACACAAAAGTTCAGTTAGACAGGAGAATTACGGTCAAGAGCTCTATTGTACATCATGGTGACTACAGTTAATAACAATGTATTTTATACTTTAAAATTGCTAACAGTAGTTTTCAGGTATTCTCACCACAAAAAAATAAGTATGTGAGGTAATGCACATGTTAAATACCTTGATTTAGCCATTCCACAATGTATACATGTATCAAAACATCATGCTGTACACCATAAATATATATAACTTTTGTCAATTAAAAAAAATTTTTTTGGGGGGGCTGAGCCCGTGGCGCACTCGGGAGAGTGCGGTGCTGGGAGCGCAGCAGGGCTCCCGCCGTGGGTTCAGATCCTATGTCGGGATGGCTAGTACGCTCACTGGCTGAGCACAGTGCGGCCGGTCTCAAAAAGGACAAAAAAAAAGAAAAAAAATTTTTTTT